GAGGAGGATTAATTCATGCTAGAGGTGAAGAAAGATGGTTGCTCTTTAATAGAGATGCCATGTGTAGATTCCATGCTTGGCCTTTGTTTGGTGGGAGAGAGCGCTGTACATTCACTCCCCCCACCTACAATCCCTGCCGGTACGAAACTCGAACCCGCAACCTTTTTTGGGTTACGAGTCCGACTCTCTAACCATTAGGCCACGACTTCCTATAATGTACACAGCTATGCCTTGAGCACTTTGACTGATGTGTGAATCACCCAAGGCAAACATGTATGCGTGCCTTAACATACATATGGCTTAAAAGGAAAATGTATGTTTACTTAAGTTATTCACAAATTTAATTGGAATCATCAATATGACAAGAAAGGCATTTCATGTCAATGTTCACTTTTTTTTTAAATTAAAGTCAAAATTCTTACAGCTGAAATGCCCACTGGAAATGATTACTGACCAGCAGCAATGTTCGGCTCACCTCAAATCAAAGCCAAACAAATACTACTTGACCTTGGACTTGCTGCAAAGGTCTTGATTTGGTTTCCAGCCAACCAACAAATTCGGAATGCATTCTTAAACAACTCAGAAGTACTAATACTCACACAGACACACCGACATGATCTGCTGCACTCAGCGATGTGTGTGGGAGGCCCCTGGGTGTGTGTACACGATGCAACTGCATTGTAGTATCAGTGTCATGAGTGTCTTTAATAAAGAAGAGCAGAGGCGTAAAACTGGCAGGCAGTAGGCCAATGATAAGGTTTAATAGGCCACGGTGAAGAACAGCAGTAAGTAATAAGGTCTGATAGAGTGAAGGCGAGAAGGACTGGAGAGAGAGACTAATGCATGGAGTCTCGCACTGTGGCTACACTTGTTCCGCTGTCCTCCGCACTGCCATTCATCATTACTCATTGCCTGCTTTCTTCCTTCGTTCCACCTTTTCCATTCATACACCATCTTTGTCTCTCACCCAGACATGAACTTCTTTCTCCGTTTAATTCATGTCTGAGCTGCACCACTTACTGTTACTCCTCAGCAGTTCCTTCAAATCTGCACTTCTTTTATCTATTTAATCTGTCTCTCTTCTCCAGCTCTTCCTCTCACTTTCTCTAATAGACTGTTTCTCTGTTTCCATCTCTCCTTTTTCTGATTCTCTCTCTGTTTGTTGCATGTCCTTACTAGACCTATCCAACCTTTCTCTCTCCTCTTTTCTGGTGCTGGTTCTGGAGCCAGTGCCCAGTTTAAATTTAATCGGTACATTTCCACAGCAGAAGCTGTGGAAAAATCACAACTGTAGTGCTCCTGAAACCTGCAAACTAGAAAAAAAAAAAAAAAAAAACTCCATGAAGCAAACAAAACTAGATAGCACAGATTTGTCTTCATTGGAAACGCTTAATGTGGCAATGCAATTGGAAATGCAGTATAGACATGACATTCATTTGTAGGTTATGCTGTTATACTCCACAGCGACTCCAGCTGCTTCATTTTTCCATCTAATAGAAAATATTTTTTTAATTTGAATATACGTTTATATATTTATATAACATCATACATTGATTGCTGTGAGCAGAATTTTTATTTTTGCTTTATATATTCAACTTATTACAGCTGCATCAAAAGTCATGATGGCATAACGACACTGAATCAATTTATTTTAGGTTTTTAAAATGTGTTTTTATTACAGGACTTATTAATCCTAATGTAAATTTATAAATATACTACTGTTAATTTATGTTAGCTCATAATACATTAACGGTAATTCACACATCTGCAAAGGTTTAAAATGTCTAAGTATACTTTAGAAATTACCGTTGATCTAGATTAATAATGTAGATGATTAAATGATAATATAAGTACAAACAATTTCATAATTTTAAAAGTGCTACATTGCTACATAAACAAATGCTATATTGATGGGCGATTCAGAGAGCAATCAGCCTTCAAAAAAAAAAAAGATTTCTCCATACACAAATCCTACACTGATGGCCAGTTATTCACATAGCAGACAGCATTCAGTCTCCAAAAAACGTTAATCTTTCCTTTCAATACAGACATTACGCAGCGTCAGGTCAGGCGAGAGCTCACTGCTGAATGGTCAAGGCAGCTGTACATAAACCCATAAAACACCATTATGTCCAATGCCTGGACAATAACATCCCACATGGGTTGGAATAGTCTTCGCATTGGCTAAAAGTTTTGTCTGTCAATATTTTACCACAAAGGCACTGGCTGGCTGTGTACACAGTGAATGACAAATCTATGTGTCTCAAGACGACACAAAATCCGATGGCACTGTTTGGTTTTTATGTATAAAACTATTACGCTATTTTGAAAAATAAACTTTCGAGGTGGGCTCATTTGTTGGTGAGAGTCTAATGTATATGAAAATATACAGTTTTACAACATAAACGGTGCTGAGATTGCATAATTTTGTGAAGAATGACGAATGACGAAGGATAGAATGTTCAAGATAATTCTGACAAACGTATGGATAATATATCAGTATTTCATGCATTTATCGATTTTGAGGACAAAAGTGCTATTGGATGTTGTTTAATGGACGCTTGACTTTAACAATTTACCCAAGTGTGACAGATTGGATTCATGTCATAATCATCGCTGACGTATGAAGTCTTGTTTTGTTTTACATAAGCACTTCTGACACAAATTAGTTTATTATTGTTGCTGAAGCATTTCTATCATAAAACAGAGACCGGATACTGACACTAAACCCATAGACCTTTCAAAACATGAATAATTTGTCAACATTCCTAACATTTGGGAGCAGTTGCCTATATAGGTAATTATAAGCAAAGTTACGTCGGCCCAAGGGCGCGGATTTAACACGTCAACAGGTTAAAATATTCTGCACACTAAGAAAAAAAAAAGATTATTCAACACTGTAAAAAATAAACTGTTGAGAATACTTAAAAAAGTAAGGCAACTTGATGCAGTAAGACTTTTGAGTTGTCTCAACAATTCTTTTATAGTTCTTCTAAGTAACAATACTGCGTTCAGCCAACCTAAATTTCTTTGTTCATGCAATGATGATTGTCTTATTTTGCTAATAAAGTTATTTTTGTCACAGCAACAGAAACAACAAGTACTGTTGTTGAGTAAATTTATTATTTTCTGTTTGCTGGATGAAAAAAAAAAGAATGTGTAAATAGTCACCACATTACCATTTTTATGTCTGTTTACGCATGACAAACAAGCACTTATTTCTTTATCAGTTTATGTCATTAAAATTATAATGATGGTATCAAGAACATAATGAAATGTTATAAACCACAAAGAACGGTGGCAATCAACAAATGTAAAAAAAAAAAGATGAGCTCTTTAAATCACTGCACAACAAACAACTAATAATAACGACAAAACAACAACGAAAAAGTTTAAATGAAGCCAGCAAACAGCAAAACAATAACCCTTTAACAATATCTGCATAATTTATTCATGCTGCAATGCATGCTGGAAACTCACAACGCTTTAACATTTCAGCAATATACAATTCTTTATTCAGACAACTCTGTTTGACTAGTTGGGACAACATTTGGGGTCTGACAAAGGTTTTTATGTTCAATTCTGTTGGTCTAACATGGATTTTTATGTAGTTTCAAGAAAACTGCAGTTGCATTTTTTACAGTGAATTAACTGTTCACAGAAAGATTCTCTGGGAAACCAAATTATCTGGGAAATTCCAAAATGGTTCTTCTATTGAAATGCTACGAAAACCCACTTTATTTTTAACAATGTGTCTATTTTTAACACTGATTGCTGTCATTTGAAGCTTTCTACACTGTATGCATCAAAGCGACAGTTACAAAGCGATCGGTGCAAAGCAACAATTTTACAACCAAAAGTAGCGCAAGAGTTTGCAATACGTCATAAATAGAATGGGGCATCAGTTTACTACTGGGGACTCGTCTCGTTGCGTCACATCCAGTGACAGAATCACTGATCATAACTGTTTCTGTTGGCTTTTGTCACGTCGCATTGCACCGCTCTCAGCCGCTGTAGACATGGTGTAAGAGTATGTGTCATCATTAATCTAGTCTTGTCAATGGGATCAGGGACCGGTTATGACAGATATTCAGAGATCCCTGGCTGAGCAGCAGTTCTGCCACGGTTGAAAAGAGGTATCAGACTATCACTCTCACCCTAATACTGAAGCTCAGGCAGATATCCACCACTTCAGCACTCTTTGTTTCTGAGGCCACCTTGAAACCCTATTCACAGTTGCACCCTTCACTTAATCTTCATCTTTCACTCCCTGTCACTCTCTTTTTCTCACCTCAGATCCGCCGTCTGCCATCCATCCCTCTCTCGTTCGCTCCATATGTTCTGAATCTCACCCTACACTGATAACACTCACATACGGCCTTATCTGCTACTTATCCACATTTGCCAACACATCAGTGAACCGATCAAGAGCACAAGCTCTCTTATGAACGTATGCTCGGCACGTAGGCAGATCTGAGTTCATTAAAGCTCTAAATGTGTATACCCCATTGTAATCATTCTCCCAGATGAATGACAAATAAGCCTTTACTGATATAATGAGTGCCTTCATTAACCCCTAATCAGCTAATACGGCTGCACACACAATCCACCGGTGCAGCGATACTCCGGAATTTATGACACACATACGCAAACAAACAGAAATAATGTGGTATTTTTATCTTCTTCTCTGTGTTTAGGTTGTTAGAGGATAGCAGATCTCCCCTGAGTAAGAAAATGTAACAGCAATAAAACTTTTTTTATTAGAAACACTAAATCCTGCCAGAGAGACACGAAGGAGTCTCTTCATCCCTTTCTGTCTAAAATAAACATATTATCACACCTTTTTTCATTCCCCTCTCTCTATGTGTAGCGCTACTGGGAGATGAGAGAAGATGTGCCAGAGGTTCAGCTTGTGATATCAAAGAATGATGTAGAAACTGAAGCAATGTTCTGCCTTAATGCTGCTGCTCATTCGCAATACCCTTCCCTCGCCTTTCAACCTGGTGAGGGTGTGTGTAGGTTACCTATGGCCATAAAGTCCTCCGGCTCCCACGGCTGAAGCTGGGAGAGGGGTCCGCTGTAGAGCAGCAAGCCATCTGCCACCTCTGTGATGAACTCCAGCGAGAGGTGGCTCTCGAAACATGGCCTTATAGGGGGAAACCAAGCATAGCCGTTGCCATGGAAACTGTGTTTTGTCTGCTGGCACTCGGGTCCCTCAAACTGAGCCGGGCACTGGCATCTATGGTATGCACAGGAAATCAAAAGCTTTTATTAAAAACAGTATGAGTTTCAGGTTTTGTACACATGCTACTGGACTGACCTGGACCCAAAAAGAAAAACATAAATAAAAACAATGCAAAGAATGTACAGCTCACACATTTGCCTATACCAGGAACATTTTATTTGAAATGTAGGTTATTTGATTATGAACTTAGGCAAGGCAAGTTTATTTAAACTGTAGCAGATTTTAGACACAGTGGTAATTCAAAGAGCTTTTACATAGACAAGAGATTGGTTGGTTGGTAGATAGATAGATAGATAGATAGATAGATAGCAGCAGTCATGATTGTGATGTTGCTTAATTTAAATAACTGCCACTGACATATCCATACTCAAAATTCAGAAAAGAAATAGGACTTTTCACTATATGGACCATAAAGTTTGGAATAGCCTTCTGTGCAGTGCTCGGAACACTATCAGTCTATCAGTCATCATTTACTTACCCTCATGTTGTTCCAAATCTGTACGACTTACTTGATTCTGTAAAACATAGAATGTCAGTGGGGTTCCAAGCAACACTGGACTCCACTGATGTTTATATGACTTTTTCGCAGAATACAGCAAGTCATACAGGTTTTGAATGACATGAGGGTGAGTAAATGATGACAATTTTCAATTTTGGGTGAAATATCCTATTAAGTCTAGAGTAAAGACCTATGTAAGCCAAACATTCAAATTAGATTTTTCTCAAAGCTTTGTATCCCACTCCCACCTCATCTCTGTTACTGAGTGATGCAACCTGTCAAATATAGCCTATACCTGCCAGACAGTGAGGTACGCTTCAACGACCACTTCCTACATCCCCTTCAGTCATTTTAGGATGGACTTCAAAGACTATAGGTCCCTCATTATCATTATTTTATCATTCTCATCACAACATTATTCCATGAACATATTAAACTACTTAATTTGTAACACATGACAAGTACTACACAAATCTGAATTAAAATGCATGTATTATGTTTTTTTTTTTTTTTTTTACATTTTATACTTCCTTCAGTGTGTGATATAGCTGGTAAATGATCGATAAGGTGCCTTGAAATGCGTGTTTGTAGTCCTGCCATCGTGACTGCGCTATATTACCATGTTATACATTTGCATAATGCCTGCCCACTGGCTGCTTAGGCCCACCCTCAAAGAACATTTGGGTAAGTGAATTTGCTATATCGAGGAGACACTGTTTTTTGCTTCAAGGGTAGAAACCCTTATATGTACTTCCAATACCTATACCGTGGTTACCATAGATATGATCCATAAGGGGCGTTACATTTCTGACAAATGCTCTAAGTGGTTTACCAATCACAACAGACCAGTCGGCCAGCTCACCAATCAGAGTATACTGGGCTTTTCAGAAAGGAACTAAAAGCAGGGTGCTGCAGCAATATAAAGTATGAAAAAGTAATGTGTTTTTGAACTTTAAATCATGCAAATGTATTCTAGCAGACTACATAAATAAAATTGTAAACTTGTAAATGAGCATAATATGGACACTTTAAGGCTCCATTTTAAAGATTTTCTCATTTAGGGAACCTCCCAAAACATCATCCTCTATAAAACTGGAACCACACTGGACCATTCAATACAAGTCTGATGTTGTGCATCTCTTTGCCATCAAAAATTTCCATATGAAAGATACACTTCATATGCATATGTATTGGCATGACTCAAACAGTAATCAACAGCTCTCTTGTTCTGCTTTCTGACGGATCAGCCCCACCTGTTGCGCACGCTCTTGATTCAGCCCACAAACAGAATCATCTGCTCAGAAACATCAATGACAAATTGCTTTCTTTTGGTTTGCCACCCAAGCACTGCTGTGCCCTCAGATCCCCTGCCTCAGTGCCTCTTTGGCAAGTCTAATCATAGTCTTTGAAAAATGCATGGGTCTATCGCTGTCCTTCCTCCGTGTCTCCTTTCTCTGTCTCTGTCTTTGTTTCATTCTCTCTCCTCGCTGTCTCCCTCGTAGCTGCAGTTCTAATTGTCGGATTGAAAGGAAAATGACATGGGATGACAATCTCTGTGCACTTATGACAGTTGAGACAAAGAAAGATAGTTAAGCAGGTCAATGCACCCAATAAAGCAATCAAACGCATCATGAGTGCTCTAATTGCATTGTGCGCTAATCAAAACCATTCCCATGTTTACTAAAACAACATGCCATAGCAGAAGACAGGTGACAATTTGTTTATAGGACTGACCATCAAACTTCATCAATTTCTAATTATCATCGGCATATCTCGTCTAGCAATTCCAACAGCAAACAATTTGTCTGTCCACATTGAACATGAAACTGCTGCAAGACAGGACACAATTACAATTAATCAGATAATATTTGATGTTTAACACAGATAAGAAGATTTCTGATCAGTTATATTTCACAGTGGGTGGGGCTACGGAGTGAATCCCCTAAACTACAGTTTTGTGTGTACGGAACAGAACTTACTTTAGAAACTGCATAGAATTTATGCAAATGCGGCTGTCACTACCTGCATTTTTCGGGAGTCAATTCAGTTTGCAGAATGCGGTTGTCACTCCCGTAAATTACTGAACTGTGTGTGTAAATTTTCCATAGCAGCAAAGACACATAAGCAAGATAAGGCCATTTTACAACCCAAAGGAATTTTAGAGACAGTTTGAAACTGAGAGAGAGAGAGAGAGAAAAGAGAGAGTATACTTATATGTATAATATGGTCATGTATATGTGTTACATGAAGTAAAGATTCCTCATTGGCTCACTCACCTCCTAAGGATGTGACATCCTCATGCTTTAAAAGATCACTGATCACAAGATTATTACCAGAATTATTAGAAGTTCTAACACTGATACTAAGCTAAAAAAAATTAGAGCTGCAAACATCAAACCTTTTCTTTTTAATTGATACATTAAATACCTTTTAACAATGGCAATGCTTGTGATTAGGGATCAGTGGCGTAGCCACGGATGTGCCAGGGTGTGCCTGTGCCACCCACAGTGGCAGCTGGCACACCTAAAAATAGATGCAGAATGATTTTTTATAGTCTTAAAATACAAATGTTTTTTCTAAACTTAGCCTATTGTTGTGTACATACAATATTTGTTCATTTAAAATGTAATTACAATTTTAAATGATTTTCGTAAAAAAAAATAAAAAATCTGCCGACATTCGGACTGCCAACCAATTCGCAAACAGCCGCTGACTGTGACTTTTGACCCCAGCATCTTGAGAGACTTTTGCCGCGCATTCTAAACAGAGAATCTTTGAGTAATTGCTAGCTAGCAATATGTCACAGAGCTCCCTGCTTAAATTCTTTAGTAAAAAACCTCGGCTTGATGGAAGGCCAGACACAAGGCAGAGGATGAGGATGTTTCTCCCTCCCCTAGCCCGGCATCAACAGGTAGGGTTGCCAACCGTTCCGTATAATACGGCATCAAAGAAGCATCCCGTATGAAAGATAAACGGAACGCAGTTTGTCCCGTATTCGCAGGCACACGCCGTATGACCACCAGACCATACGAATAACAGATTCTCAATTGATAAGTGATCATTCTTTTTGCGCAAATCATTGTTTCATTTGCGACCATAAGCTTCCGAGGAAGGCTTTAAGAGAAAGTGGAATCCTCTGCCGGCTGGTCGCTCGCGCCAGCGTCCGCGTTTTTATTTCGGCAAATCAGTTTTGAGCGAATGCAAGCAACGTGATTATTGATCATGAGCACAACATTTAGCAAGGCAAGAAAACATGCAATCCACCCGAGGGAAGAAGTCTTTCACTATTGTAAGTTAATGTTAAAAAGAGAAAAAAAAAATACACATTTTAAAAAATGTAACTTCTAGCGTATTCTTAAACTTAGACCTCTTTACGTTCTCTTTAATAAAAAAAAAAAATAAAAAAATAATAATGCATTTTCATTCATTCATAGGCAGTATTATTACAGGCACTATTAAAGCTACTGTGTTATGACTGTTGGCGATCCTTAGTGTATTATATTTTATATAGTTTTATGGTTATGTGGCGAGTATAGTTTTACACATCAGCCCAGTATATTCTGTAACGTTAGTGATACGCAGAGTTGGGTTTTTAATTTTTTTTTGCACATTAATCTGACAATAAATGTGGCACACCCAGTTTTTCTGATGCACACCCAGAGTCTCTTTTCTGGCTACGCTAGTGTTAGTGATGCACCGATACCAATACTGGTACAACAGACAGTAGAATGGAGATATTACAGATTAAGGATGTCTATGAAATACATGTAAGTAATTAATATAATGTTAAACATTCAGTATCCACGCCTGTATAGCGCATGTGGCACAGATGCTTGAGCTTGTGGAAATGAATATCTCACAGACATCACTGGAAAGTTTGTAGTTCGGTCGGATATGTCAAAAGCAAGTAAGTAAAACATTGCACAAGTTACTAAAGTTATTTGACGGTAAGGAGAGCGAGAGCGAGAGAGGGAGTCCGAGAGTGCGCACTTCTGTTGCATGATCTTGATTGCGGTTTGCTCCATTAGCGCAAGCATTTGGATTAAAACTAAATCGTAAATATAAAACAAACAAAAATTATAGGGGCATTCACTATAAACAACATTTATTTTAAACGTCAAGCATACACGACTTTATTTAAAGCAAAAGTGAAACTAGCAGACTGTGTGAAATGTACTAGGCTGTAAGGGTCTCTCTCATTCTGCACCAATACAAACCTGTGCACGCTGCACATGTTTAGCTTTCTTTAAAGGCCAAAGTATATTTCGGTTTTTACTCATACGCGAGGGTCCGCATACAGTGCGCGTAACTCAAATTACATCACCAAAATAGTATGCGCGTACTCGTATAATGTATACTTCGGTTTTTACTCATACACGAGGGTCTGTGTACACTGCGCGTGACACAAATTACATCACCAAAATAGTACGCGTGCACTTGTATAACGTATAATGAGTGGTTCCCTGCATTATTTTAGGAAAACGCTTTGTGATTA